CGACACCAAGAAGCAAAGAAGCTAACCTAACTCTAGCCAGAAAAAAGTTTTGCCACATTTGACGAAAACCCACATTTGCAAAACTATTTACAAGAAATACAAATGCACAGATTAGACCCCGAGCATTGGAGGAGAAACATAACGCAAAGGATCACAGAAACAGCAAAGAGAGATTCATCTTCAAATTGTTATGGGTTAATCCTAAAATTGAGCTCCTTAGTGACAGAGAATGTAAATAAAATCCCAGCACAGGTGAGGAAAAAGCAAAACCCAAAAACAGTAGAATCGAAGAAAGCATAATCACATGATAATCTCAACAATTTTCACCGGAGATTTTCCTAATCGGAGAATAAAGTAGATCCTACCTGGCCGGGAGTGTAAGATGGTGGTGAGAGTTGTGAGGTTGAGGAAGAGAGATCGAGCTTCATTTAGGTTTTTTCTGCGGTTTACTAAATCGGTTTAGACATTTTATTCGGTTAGATTCGGTTTACATATTTGATTTAGAATGTTTAATTTCTATTGGTTTGGTTATGAGTAATCCATTAATCCATAATAATTCAAACCATTTCAATCCAATTCATTAAACTCATTAGTCCATTTAATCCATTAAATCCATTAAGATCCAAATTTCTCATTCATTAGATCCATAGAATTGGATTGGTTTGGATTGATCCATTAATTTCAATCCATTTTGACACCCCTAGGTAAAATACTCATGGTCATATACCTTTGATAAGGGTTTTGACGAGGACCAAACGAAACTGGTATCCGCTAAACCAGTTCAGCCGACTAGTCCCGGTTTTGTGTTTAATAATAAACTAGGTAAAAACATTTGCTATGCACGGACAAATCTTAGTCTATTTATTTTTTGTATATATATATATATATATATATATATATATATATAATTTTTTAATAGTAAAGATATTTATTTATGTAGTATCTTTCAAATAATTGGGTCTCTTAATTGTTTGGTGTGACCGTTGTGGGTTCATAGCTTAATGGTATTTCAATTTAAAATAGCTAAAATTTTTAGAACTAAATGTTGATATTTTTGTGAAAAACTAAATTCATTAATATTGGAAGAAAAAATATAATGTTTAAACTAATGTTGTATACTTCCTCTGTTCATTATATTAGGTGTTTTAGGGATTTTATTTTGTTTCATATTATAAGATGATTTACAAGTTTCAATGTAAATTTAAATGCATTTAATAACTTATGACTATTTATATTCTGCATGAAAAACGAAAAAAAAAGACTATTTATATTTTGCAGCAATTTTTGTAAAAGGTTGAACTTTTTTTAACTAAATATAAATGATGTTTTGAAAAGAAAAATAAATTATCTAAATATATGTGCATCCTATACTAATATTTGGGAAGTACATCCTAAGAGTCGTAACTTAGATTTTGTAAGAAATTACAATATATGCCATTAGAGATCTCTAATTATAATCATTTTTATTCCATTTCACTAATATATATTAACGGGTCAACGGGTCAAACAGGTTTAAAGATATTAAAAGATTTTGTTTATATAATACATAATTAATATAATTCGAGAATGTTATATACTAATCAATTCGAAAATGTAACACAATTAGTAAAAATCCTATACTAATATACTAATATATTATTCGAAAATGTTATTGAAAATGTTATTCAAAATGTTATATAGTAATCCATTATTCGAACATGTTATAAAAAAATGTTATTGAAAATGTTAATGGAAATGATATATCATTGAAAACATTTTATATCAATCCAATTTATAAAAAATGCTATTTTGAATTATAATACTCATATAGTTCGAAAATGTAATTGAAAATGTTATTCAAAATGTTATATCCTATACTATTATTTGGGAGGTACATCCTATAAGTCGTAACGTTAATTTTGTAAGAAATTATAATATATACAATTAGAGATCTCTAATCATAATCATTTTAATTCCATGTCACTAACATTAACAAATTAATTAAAAAACGGGTCAAATAACAAAAAACGGGTTTAAAGATCTTAAAGATATTAGGTTGTTATATTTTGTTTAGATATAAATTCGTATTCAAGCAATTCGTAATCTTTGAGAATATATTTAGTTTCCCTAAAATCTTTGAGAATATATTCAGTTTCCTTAAAACCATTTATAAAAAAAATAAGTTATAATAGTTGTTATATTCTAGATCGTTTTTTTGTTTAGTTTTACGTTTTTTGTTTAGCTTAATCACGCATCAATATAATCAGCTATATAGTTTCCTTAAAAAATTTTCTAAAGATTGTCAAATCTCTCTGTTATATAATTTTGATCCTATATTCCAAATAATTTAGAATATACCTTTTTAAAATATTATCTAACTATTTTATGCTAATTAATATATTTCTGAATCTCCTAATTATCACAAACAATCTACAACTATAAATATCCATTTAGGTTTGACTTACCTTTCTCACAGAAATCATCTCAGCACCATTCTCATATCTTACAATTAAAAATACAGCAGAAATGGCTATGGTTAGTCGCTACACTCCTTTTAACAACTTGAAGCCTGTCAAGACTTTTTGGTGTATTCAAGTTAGTATACTTCATTCGTGGATTCATTTTACAAAAGGTTCTGACATATCTTTGGAAATGATTTTGACAGATGAGGTTGTAAGTACCATTGAAATTTTATACAATTCTCTTTGTAATATATGTGCCGTAAGTTTTAAATCTTCTTATTTTAATTACAGGGTAACAAAATTCAAGTAGACATAAAAAAAAAAACACATCAGCAAATTCCAAAGGTATGTTAAACTGTTTTTTTTTCTTTTTTTTTGAGAAATTGTTAAAAATGCCCCTTTTTCAATACCCCTTTTCAAAAATGCCCCATTTGAGAGTCCATTTTTAAGTTTGCCCTCTTTTAATTTTTAATGACCACTTTACCCTTATTTGAAACAAAATTAGGTCCACAAAATACAAAATATTTTTTGGCGGGAAAAGTGATCCCGCAATTTTCCCGCCAAAACACTTGTAAAAACCTTTAAAATACCTTGTAAAATTTTCCCGTAAAAATTTTTCCCGCCAAAAAAATTTCCCGCCAAAAACTTTTTTTGCAGGAAAAGTGATTCCGCTATTTTTTTGGCGGGAAAAATTTACAAGGTATTTTAAAGGTTTTACAGAGTATTTACAAGTGTTTTTGTAAGGTTTTACAATGTATATTAAAAGGTTTTACAAGGTACTTATAAGGTTTTATAAGGTACAGTAAAATCTCTATAAATTAATACTCTATAAATTAATAACCTCTTTAAATTAATAAATTCTTCCGGTCCCGAGTTGGGACCAGTGTAAAATATGACATAAATCGATAAATTAATAAGATAATAATTTTTTTGAAAATCCTATGTAAACATATGGTCCCATCTATACTGTAAATTAATAATTATATAAAATTATCTATATATAGATATATATGTATATTTAACCTAATATATATATGATATAAATTTATATATGTCATATATGAATTACTATGATATATATTAAAAATATTATATGTAAAAGTTTTAATAAAATATGACTCTATTATTCGAAAAAAGTTTGTGTTGTTTTTTAAACTTAATAATTGTTTTTCTACTTGCAATTGGTTTTAAAAAGATATTGCTTATAATTATAAAGAAAATTTTTATTTTAGAAAGAAATGTTTTAAGAAATTACCAAATTAGGAAAATCTTTCTATAAATTAATAATTATTAATTTATCGATAAATTAATACCTCTCTAAATTAATAAAATTTTCTGGTCCCAACATTATTAATTTATAGAGGTTTTACTGTATTTATAACTTGTAAAACCTTATAAAAAACTTGTAAAACCTTATAACTTGTAAAACCTTTTAAAATAGCTTGTAAAATCTTATAATATCTTATAAATACCTTATAAATACGTTGTAAAACCTTTTAAAATACATTGTAAAACCTTATAAATACCCTGTAAAAAACCTTTAAAATACCTTGTAAATTTTTGGCGGGAAAAAATTTTACGGGAAAATTTTACAAGGTATTTTAAAGGTTTTACAAGTTTTTACAAGTGTTTTGGCGGAAAAAATTGCGGGATCAATTTTCCCGCCAAAAAATATTTTGTATTTTGTAGACCTAATTTTGTTATATTTCCTTATATATTTGTGATATTTTATATTAAAATAAGGGTAATTTAGTCATTTTGTACATAAAAAGGGGTATTTTTAAAAATAGACAGCCAAATAGCGCATTTTTGAATAGGGGTATTGAAAAAGGGGCATTTTTGTGAGTCTCCCTTTTTTTTTAAAACCATGAAACTGGGCCTCACAAACCCAATATAATCCATTAAAAATTTTTGATCCAATACAACTATTTTTTTGTTTGTTCACAATCACACAATAAAATTATCAATACCTAATTTTTTTTTGGTAAGAGAAATTATCAATACCTAATTGAACCAAAAAATTGTTAATCTCATATAAAAAATACAAATCTAATGCTGCTAAATATATTAAATTCTAAAATACAATATTCTCTCCTTCTTTAGTCAAATAAAATATATAACATTATATCCAAATAGTAATAAATATAAAATATTATGATATATTTCTTTTTATATTATATTATTATACTATATTATTTCTTATTTCTTCGAACAAAATATACAATTTAATTCATGAAAAATATTAAATCCCGTGCTGTATAGCACGGGTCATGATCTAGTTTACTTTAAACCTCTTATATACAAAGGGAGTAGTATTTAAATTTGTTAATTTTTAAGCCATATACAAATGAATAATTTATATTATAATTTAAAGTGCAAAAATAATCTTAGCATTTAATATATAGAAAAATCGAAATAGTTAATTTGGTAATAATAAGAAAAGTTACGAAATTAACTATTCTAATTTCGTTTTTTTTACCAAAAAAAAAAAGGAAAGTTACGAATATCAAAATTTGGTAATGTGTTGGTTAGTAGTTTAAATAGATAAAATAAGAAAAATAGTGTTTGACAAATGTGATAGTAGAATTAAAGTGAAGAAAAAAAATGCTGAGAAAACAATGCACAAAAAAACCATACAATCAATCGATCAAAAACAATACCAAAACACCACACCACTTCTTTGTACCATTGGAACTCTCTAGAGATTGAGTTTCTCCAGAATTTTGTTCCCAAATTTGTTGCACCTCATCAATCGAATGTTAAGCTCTATATGATACCTCAACATGTGGCGCACATCGTCCTGCAAACACACCAAACAAGATTCTCAAAATCAATCTCTAACCCGATAACCGCAATCAAACAAATATAGGGCCTTACCTTAGACACAAACCACGCGGTTTGAATGACATAGTTTCCAAACGGGTCAAGAAGAAGTGTATCAATCTGACTAAGTAAGTCAACCACAATCAACCTAGTGTCAATTATACCCCTTAGTTTCAACAACTTCTGCACAGCATGACTTCCATACTTGTTGCGGGCAAGGTGTGCATAGTTCCCTACTAGCTGTCTCACGAGCGCGTTGGTCACATGTGGATGATTGAGCTCCACGATATACTGAACCACATAGTTTCTGAAGGAGAGAACATACTTGTGAGTAAAACAACAAAGTGGATATATGAGAAAGTATATGATTGTAGAGTTGTTGTCTATCATTACCCGTAGCAGTTCAAGCAGAGTTTCAACGCATGAGAGATTATTTCCGAAATTAAACGTTGCCTTATCTCAGGATTCGGAACACGAATCTTGTCACAACAATGCTGAAGCAAGCAGCAGCCATGTTGATCAATCGCTATCTCGTAACAATGTCTAGCGACAACTTCAAGAAGATACTGTTAATACAGAAGAAAGATTGTCATTTCTCAAGAATACTAGCAAACAAGGTTAAACCTGTGATTCATGGTCTATAATCGCTCATTTTACTTGTACCACAAGGAAGAAAGTCACTAAGATTAGATCTTAGCTACAAAAATGCTATACAGATTCTAGGAACTGAAGAAAACAGACATTGCACAATTTACCGATAACAAGCAAACTAAAACATTAAATTCATTAATCTACTTAAGTTGCTACAGTAGATTCCTTCAACTATACATAATCTATATGTGTTTTGAGATATTTCCATAGCAAAGAACCAAACTATCAAGAACTGAAGCAGAGTACTACAGTGAATGAGATGCTTACCCTACAGTGCGAGAGAGGAAACAGGCGGAAGCATGACAGAATCAGATATCTAGCATTGCTGCTCCTTGCCAATTGAAGTCCTACCGAGCTGATAAGATCCATGATGCGCGGGATTTGATCATTAGCACGCTTATGAATACTGCCCAACAGCTCTTGTATTGCCGCTGTTCTGATATCTCCAAAACAAAGACAATTACAAATTAAAAGCATAACAATCACAAAACCAATGCACAATCATATCTCAAAGTTAAAACAAGAATAATCAAGCAGTGTGTACCCGCGCTCATCAAAGCATATGTTAACAAACTGAAACATGTCCTGAGTGACAAGATCAACAATCTGAATGATTTGTTCAGAGCAGCATTTTCCAATAAGCAACATAACAACATCACTACCATAAGGATCCACCATCAACTCACAAATATGGACAATTATACGGTCGAAAATCGTATCAATCGTCTCTTTAGTACCCTGATAGATAGTCTCCAACAGCTTCTTGCTCCACACTGCGTCTTTCGCAATGGCATAGAGCGAGCCTCTCCCGTTCTCCATCTGATCTTGATAATAGACATTACTCCTCCAAGAATTGTTGATTTCAGACTCAAAACCATCAGGGTAATAACCCCAAGGGTTTTGATCAGAGACATGGTTTCTTGGAGCATAAGGAACTCCATTCAAGAAATCATTGTCAAGTGTATTATACCCATCAGAATGATTAACACAATTGTTCTGATTAGACAATCTCTGCTGATTCTGATTAAACCTTTGAAACTCTTCTAATTCACGGTGGTAAGGACTCGGAGGAACCAAGTAGCCACCACCATTAACACCACTACCACCACCACCACCACCACCACCATTAACACCACTACTACCACCACCAACATCGCTGAAACGACGGGGACGGGGTCGGGGTCGTCTATGAGTACTGTTCTGACGAACAGTTGATGAATCTGCAAAAGAAAGCCCACCAAAAGAAGATTCTAGGGTTTGCAAATCAGAATCATGACTTGAGAAACCATTAGCTCTGTGGATGTGATGACTCTCCGGTGGAAAAAACGGAAGCGACTGCATCCGCGGTGGTTGTGACTGAGAAGACGAAGACGCCGTTGATAGATTCTCCTCCGCCGCCGTCGCCGTTGACCAGATGTTGCGTTCGCCGTTAAACTTGTTGTCCATGGTTAAAGAAGAAGAAGCTGAAAAATCTAAAGAAACAGAAAAAAAGAGAAAGAAATATATATTAGGTAAATAAGAAACAAACCTTTTTTTTGTTCAACAAATTAAATACGAAGAGAGAAAAATAAGGAAGGAGAGATACTTTAGAGATTTAGAGATTAATTGTGTAAATCATGATTAAGGTAAAGAAGTGGGTGATTTAATTGCATAGAAAAGAAAAAAATACAGAGATTGAATACGTTTTTTTTGGACAAAACCTGTGTTTCTCTTTCTCTTTCTCTTTCGCTATCGAATTGCTTCTTTTGCTCTTCTTAGTTTTTCTTTCCCATGCACATTAAATAGTGGAAAATATTCCGATAGAGTCAAAGTCGCGTGGAAACTTCACATTTATCACCTATTAAATTATTTTCTTTTGTTTTTGATAATTACACATAGTATCGATCGAAATCTTTAGATATTAGAAAATCTTTGAAACTTTATCATCGAAAAAACAAAAAAAAAATATATATATATATATACAATAATATTTTTTACACGAAAGAATATAAAATAAAATCTAATCTGAGATTTGAGAAAGATATTATAAAAAAAATTATTTAAGTGCTGATTAAAAAATATATTATATAAAAAAATTATAAGTGTTTTATAAACCAAACCGGATTGGTCGATTGATTTGTGGTTATAATATGGTTTTATATATACGCTTGTATTGATGGAATGACACAAGACAATGAACACTGCACTGATTAATTTCATAGTTTATTGTTATAAAGGAATTATATTTCTCAAATCAGTTGATGCTTTTGATATCTATGAAAGTGCTGAGAATTTATGCCACTTATTTGCTAATTTTATCATTATAGAATTTGGTTCATCTAGTGACTGATCCCAACTATAAAGTTTACTTTGGTAATAGGGGAAAACATGCTAACAAAGAGTATACGCTTAAACAAAAAATTCATGAACTATGTAGCCAAAATCTTTAAACATAAAGTTAAAGATCCTTAATCACAACTAGAAGTAATCCTAAGACATGTACAACCCAAAAAACACCAAGAAAAGAAACCAACGAAACCACTTCTCTCTAAATGTTGACATCTTCAAAAAGCGTAAGAGGCAGCTCTGGCGATGCAGGCAATGTCGCTACACACTTGAACTGTGTTGAAGCAAATAGAAAAAGAAACATGTAAATCTCAAGAACATTGTTCTTCACATTGAACTCAAACCATTATTTCATAGTAGTTAGTTACCTTATGCTGCTTGTATTTCTCTCTTATAGCTTGTAATGCTCCTCCTTTTCTACTCAGATACAAGTCATGTATCATACCCACACATTCTTTCAAATCACCCGCTTTGTATTTTGTGTATTCTTCTAACATCACATTCTGTTACATTCAAAACCAGAGCTTTAGTTTCTTATATAAAGTAGTGTATATAGAATTAGAACAAGAACTGCTATGTAGAAAATGCTTTACCCAGGGATGTTGTTTTGGACGGATGATGAACCTAGCGAGAAACACCGCTGAAGCAGCCACAATAGATGGAAGAAACTTCACAGATTGATAGTCTAACATGCTTAACTCCGAAAGATAGCTACAAAGAAACTCCATCTGTAAATGTGACATCTGAAAAAACAATAAGAGAAAGTCTTAGTAAAACCGATACTCTACACATTGCAAATGTCACAATTTTGAAAAGAGCTTACTTCGAAATCTTCTTGTGCAACCCTTGTGAACCGTCTGCACAAAACAAAAGCAATGAACTCAATAACCACCAAAACCAGCCTTATGCAACAGCTTCTAACCAATGAGACAATGAACTTAATGAGCACCAAAAGAATCAAAATCTAACCTCAGAAACGTGTTGCTTGTCGGGTTTCCTAATTCAAATCGCAACGCAAGAAGTATATCAGCTTCCATCATAACAATCTCTTGTTTCGTATAAGTATTATCTGTAATATAACAAAAGTCTTCCACATTTGGAGGAGTAATCTCTTCATACTTTCTACAAAATTCCAAAACCCAAAATCCAAAATAAGCAAACAACAAAACCCACAAAAAAAAGAGATTCAAACAAAACAAGAAAAATCTTACTTACGAAGCAATAAGCATTGATGTAACTCCCAAAAGCTGAAGCCTTTGTTTATTAACAGTCTTGAGAGACAAGAATCTATCAATGTAAGAAACAGCAAGATAAAGAGTGTCTGAGAGAAGTTTATATTCTTCAGCAACTTCTACTAACCAATCAACCAAAACTCCTCTCATATTCGAAGTTACATCTTTCTGAATCTTCTCAATATAATCAACCAAAGGCCTTGATTTTGCTTCCACCTGAATTGTGAATCAAGAAACTACTCAATTGTGAATCTAAAAAACTAGAGATGGGTTTTGTTTATTTACCTCTAATTGACGAAGATACTCGAAGATTGAAGTAACATAAGGACCACACATCTGAGGATCATCAGATCTTGTATCAATGTCTGAGTTTAAGGTTAAGAGTGTCGGAATCGGAACTGATTTCTTCTGTTTTGTCGGAATCTTAGTAGCTTTTCGAGGCTTCTTGATGTTGGACAAGTTTGGAAGTTCTCCGAGAACGACTCTCTTCTTGTTGATTCGTTCTTCGTCTATTGTTGCTTCCATTGAAGCTTTTCTTTTAGTCGCTGCTCTTGTCATTCTAACGCAATTCTCTTTTTCTTCGGCCATGATTGATTGGATTCAAGAGAGAGATTGAGATCGAGATTTGGTGGATGAGAATGGAGGAGAGAAGGAGAAGAGAAAAGGAGAAGATGCGAAAAGACATTTTTGAGGTTTTTGGAATAAAGATTGGATTTTGGCGGTTTTTTGAATTTTTCGGGTTTTGATTTTTGGAAAAGTCAGATGAATTGTGTTGGCGCGATGTTTTTGTTTGTATTTTTGAGCTTCGAAATTTTCACCGGGAAATGTTTAATTTGGCAGTCACACGAATACCTAATCGGAGAGGAAGAAGATGATGATGCACAATGTGTAAATTGAAGTTTTAATGGGCTTTTAAGTGGCCCAATATGTCTTGCCCAATAATAATTTGTTTTGTCATTTTTTTTTCACAACAATTTGTTTTCTTTTTTTTTTTTGCTGTCGTTTAGTTAATGGGGCCTTTCGTTAATTGGGAACACAAAGTTATAAGGGAGATTGACACAAATAGCCCCAAAAAAATTGTTTTTTTCCAAAAATAGCACCTCATTTGAAAAGTTCCACAAATAGCACCATAAACTTCAATTAAACTTAATGAAAATATAAGATAGAAAATAAAAAAGAGAGCAAACACTAATCTAATATTAAATTGAATCAAAATTGTTTTTAAATAGTGGAAATATATACCCTAATTTGGAAATAGGGAACCCAAATATAATACCACAAACTAATATTAAAATAAAAATTTCTTTTAAATGGTGAAAATATATACCCTAAATTAGAAATAGGAAACCCAAATATAATATCATAAACTAATATTAAAATGAATCAAAATCTCTTTTAAATGGTGGAAATATATACCCTAAATTGGAAATAGAGAACCCAAATATAATATTTTAAATTTATTTCTAATTTATTTTGTTGAATAGCTTTTATATAAAAGTTGTGGTATTATTGAAAAAAAAAAGCTAGTGATAAAATTTTTAGAACAAAAACACTAATAGTAAGTTAACTAGTGCTATTTTTGGAAGTTTATGGAGTGTATGCTATTATTGTCAATAAAACTTGTTTTAGGGCCATTTTTAGGAATTTCTCAAGTTATAAACTTATATATAAAGTATATATTAAAAAAAAAAACTTATATACAAAGTTTTTTTATATCACTTTGAACTACAATTCTTAATATGTTTTTAGTGTTTTCTCTAGTTTTTAGTTTTTATTGAGTCATATTATGTAAAGAGATGATTTGGAGTAAAATCTGAGTTTAATTGGAGCAAAATAGAAAGAAAAAAATAAAGAAAATAAAAGATAAAGAAAAAGATCGACAAACCCTTGGTGTACCGATCAACATCTTTTTGGTATATCGATTGACATTCCCTTGATGTATTGATCCACAACTTTCTCAGAGCAAAGACAATCAATGTTACTAACGGTGTAACCGATCGACATTTTTTTAATGTGTCGATTCACAGCTTTCGTCGAAAAAAACGACCATATTTACTACCATCAAAATTTATCGATATTAAGAGAGTTAGCTCCATTTTCTTTACAAGTATATTTAGGTTTAATTGTATGCCTCTATAAATAAACAAACTCATTAAAAGTATTTTGGTAGTCAACCAAAATAAGAGCTAACATGAGGTTGGTGATACAACTTAAGATTGTTTATATCATTGTATGGTCATAAATAGGACTAGTTCAACCCTATACTAAACAAACATTACTCATTATGAAAAGTGTAAAAACAATAAAGAGCGTGTATCAACAGCGTGAAAGGTGTAGAATGAGATTGAACGGAACCAGAAAAGAAAAAAAAAATCAAATCGAAGAAAGTAACGTAACCAAGGGCGGACCCAGTAAGAAGGAAGGGAGGTCAACTGACCTGGTAAAATAATGATATAAGCTTTGTTTTGTAAAATAATGTTTAAAGAAGCAGTAGCTAATTTGGTAAGTCCGTGTAAAAATGACCTCCTAAACCTGAGTTTGAATCCCAGTTTGACATTTTTAGTTAATTTTTTTCTTTTTTTTTTGTTATGACCTGGATAAAAAAAAAATCTGGGTCCGCCCCTGAACGTAACTGTTAAGTTTTTTGGAGAACTTAGTAATAATATATATATATCGTAACCATAATCATATGAATGAACAAAACTGAAGTCATTTCTACATTTTCTAATTGAAAAACTGTAAGAATTTTTCAAATGAATTTCTTTTTACAAAAATGGGATGTCGTACAATTCTAATTGTTGATCATCTCAAGATGGTCTGAAGGCTGGAAGTCAACACATATTATGTAAATTAATTAATCGGTATAAATTTCCACTGCACTCTCTACCTAATCAATTTTTTAGTTAGTAATTTAACTTGTTTATATATAGTATAACATTTCCGTTGTATTACTATTAAATAAAAGACCAATATCAACTCGTCTAAACTTATACGCATGTAATCCGTGTGTAGACTACGGGGCAGGTAAAGACATTTTTTGGTCTATAAAGTTTAATGTTTCTTCCCATAACAACATATCGAACAAATTTCTTCTTGATCACTTGGTAAATCAAGATATCTCATAGATTGGTCCGGGTCTTCGATGGACGAAAAAGAACAGCTCCCACCGCAACATCATCAAGTGTTTATCAACTTCCGCAGAAAGAAGCTACTCAACAACTTCATCAGCCGTCTTGTGAATGCCCTTAATGATTGTGGGATCAAAGTAGTCACCGATCCAGGCAAGGATGAAGGTCAAGATATCAACAATCTTTTCAAGATGATAGAAGATTCAAGAATCGCACTTGTTGTATTCTCGAGCAGGTATACGAAATCAAGATGGTGCTTGGACGAGCTGGCGAAGATCAAGGAGCGCCAAGATCAAGGGATGCTCAAGGTGAGAGACCAAGATGAGTCTTAAGATAACTAAAGAATTTAAAATGAAGAAAAAAATGTTGGTTTTAAACAAGTGTTGGTATTTTATTAGTTAATTATCATGTTGGCTGATGTCAAAGATTTTGGTGATTAGTCGAGATTTCAATCCAAGATTATTTTGAGTTTAATTTTTATTTATTTAGATTAATATATATGATCTAGCAAAAAAGACTTATTTGAAAACTTACGATATATATTTTGAGCTTATCTAATGCAAATAAGATTGTTTAATTATGTTCTATCGCAAGGTGCTTCCTATCTTCTATAAGGTTATGACAAGCAACGTAAAGCAACTCAAAGGTGATTTTGGGAAGCATTTTTGGGAACAAGAAAGAAAGTGTAAGGCATCCAGAATGAAGAAATGGAAGAAGGCATTGGAGTATGTTTCCGGTAATATTGGTGGTCTAAGATGGAACACGGAAAGGTACGATTGGATCTTTGTCTTGTTACTAGCTTATAATAGCTATATACTTAAGCAATTGGAGAGAGTTTATCCAAATACATATAATTTATTTGAGGGAACTCATGGAATATGTTTGATGACGAATTTTTACGTAAAGTGTTACAAATTATGTACCGATGTGCTTCTTAAAAATGTTATTTTAGACAGATTGTTATAGTTCCATAGGATTTGAGCATGATATAAAATGTTATGGAAACTATATATCATCCACAAAATTAATGTTACATATTTTAGAAATCTAACTTATCTCATTTTGCTTTATCTCACTGGTTGATAGTTCGGAGAGCAGTTTCATTGGGTCAATCGTCAGCAATGTCTTGAAATTGCTAGACAAAATTTCTTCGACTGAGCAGACTGCAAAATATCAACCCAATCATCTTTTTGAACAAGAAGAGACTTCTTCGAGAAGCATCCTCGCAGCTGCACAGGAAACACAACCTAGAAAGAGCATAGGTTTCAACGTCGGAGGCAGCTCATTAGCTAACCCAACCAATGTATCACAACGCCATAGTGTACCATCTGAAATATATCATGGTAACCCGGCTTGGCATGGCTTTAGTTCCGGATCATCAAGAGGGAAATCACTAGCTCTCTATGACAATGTATACGGACAATATCGTTTGAAATGGCTCGCTAGGCTTGGTTTACGTTCCAGTTTACCCGAAGACAACTCATTACCTCCCAAAACTGATATATCGGGATTTCGTTGGCCGGCTTTACAAGCTCCATATAGCACCACAAGTTCCTTTACAACTAGTTTAGCCGAGGGATCTAGACTAGATGAACCTCCGCTAAGAGATATCTTTAACATGGGTCAACATGCAGATTCTGCTTATGCCAGAGGAAATCCATTAGTATATCCGACCATTCAATCAAGGCCCGGTATACAGCTGGCACATCAAGCTTATAGCATGGTTCGATCCAATCCAGATACGAGCTCAAACGCCTACACGAACCATAATGCTCAATATGGGGATCTCTCTGGCGACTTCTCATACCTATGGAATCCATTAGTGGGCGTTAGAACAGCCCCTATATCTAAATTCCCATGGACGGAGAGTTCTGATGAATATTCCGACTCAGAGCTCTTCCTTGGACTTCACGGGTCCAAAAGGATCAATTATTGATGTGGTACTACTATTCTACTTTATATCGACTTTCATTATCAGTTTTTAAAAGTTTTGTTGCTATGTTTCTTGTAAAACGTTTCCCCATAGTTTTCTTTTTTTGAAAGCTCTTTTGTACCAATCTCGAGACTATGAGGTTCATGATTTCTTAAACCGTTTTTCTTAATATTTTTAATATTTATGTAGAGATATTCTCAAAATATTTGAAAAAATTGTTGCATAATTTAATCTAAATCTCTAAGCTAAATCATTGTAGGGTAACGACGCTATGCAAACTTCTACATACTCACATAATAGCATTTGACGTAGTAATACTATTAAATCATTACATAGTTATTTTTGTTTCGGAAATTTTAACATTCCTCAAGTCATCATCATAATCTTCCGTTTGAAATTAATGTATATGCTTCTACTCCACGGAATTAAGTAACAGCAGGATCGTAGAACTACAAAATCAATATAAATTTGATGAATCAAACATTTTAATTTTTATATACACATGAACAAATATAAGTTGGGTGGGCTTAGGCCCATTAATTGTTTCCTTGGTTCAAAACCCAAACCCTAATTTCCAAACTCTAATCTCCAAACCCTAATCTCCAAACCCTAATTTCCAGCATTCTCGTCATCGACAATGTCGAAAGTTCATGACTGGTCAAAGCTTTGCGACGATCTTTTGCGATCAATCTTCGAAGGCTTAAACACTATCAAGGATTTTCATCGAGCGAGTAGTGTTTGCTCAAACTGGTATACCATTTCAAGAACTTGTAAGCAACCTATAAATCTGCTTCCATGGCAAATCCTATTCAAAGAGAATTCAACTCTGCTCTTTGACCCTGAAGAAAACAAAGCTCACGAAATTCAACATCCCGGAATCGACTTTTCGGATAGGTATGTTCTTACTAGCTGCAGCAATTGGCTCTTGATGATTGATTATAATGTAGCTTTCTTTCTCATAAACGTGTTCACTCGTGAGAGAATCAATCTTCCATCCATAGAGTCATCGATTATTGGTCTTGGTCAAGCACATTTTGTCGAGCCAACCGACATAATTTCTGCGAAAAAACAAGCTTGTCTTTGGATAGATGAGACAACAAAGGATTATGTTGTTGCTTGGAGTTATAACCAATACCACTTATTCATAAACAAGAAAGGAGATGATTCATGGTCGAGTCTTGAAGACACAAAGTGTCTGTATATTGCTTGTAATAAAGACTACAAGCTTTATGTGTATACATTAGATAGTTGCATCAAGATTTTTGATATATCTAGTGATTGCCCTGAAGAGATTGTCGAAGAAAATCCGTACCGTAACCATCCGTTTCGCTTTCGCCTTTTTTCCCAACCTGGGGAACATTATTGGACGCAGAGAATGGCGGTTACTAGCTTTGGAGAGGTTCTGATGATCGTGAGCTTAAGATGGTTGGGAAATAAACGTTTGTTTCATATTTATAAGATGAATTTGGAGAAAAGTAGTTGGGAAAGAGTAGATTCTCTTGGAGGTGAGATGTTGATATTTGGTCATGGGGTCACGATAAGAGCACCAATGAAAGATATTAGTAGTTTGGGAATCAAGAGTGATTCTATTTGGTTCTCTGGTGAAGGTCTTTGGCCAGAAATTGATCCTTATAGTCCCTACACACCACTTAATTGCGGTGTGTTTGATCTTACGACAAGTACAATCACATGGTTTAAACCATTAGATGTTTCGTTCTTGAAGAGTTTGTGGTTAGTTCCAGCATAATCTTAAGTCTTGTTCTGGAGTTTGGTTTCTCATTTGATCTAATCAAAAGATCTAGATAGAATCAGGAGCTGAAGCAGAGCCAAGTTGTTTCGGCTACTCTGACTTTAGATTTACTATCGATTTGTTCAAGTATTGTGATGTTGTAAGCTTTTCTTGTCACCTTTATTTTGCGAAGTTTAAGCAATGATTTTCTTTGGGAAATTTGTGGATTTAAATCTTTGGTTGATAAAAGTTTGTGTTTCTATTAGAAATCAGTCTATGGAAAAAATGGTAGACAGAATAGCTACTGGCATATTGTTCATGTGAAGTATTTTATCAAATATTGCAACGAGTTATTTTGGAGAAAATATTCACCATGATTTGGTATATATTAAAAAAAGTAACAAATCAAATAATAATTCGAAAATATATTAAAAATTAATTATTTTATTAATCTAATAATTATTATTCTGTTATATATTGTTGAAATCAGTTAAATAAATTGATGTAAAAGTTAACATCATTTTTTAGCAATTGATATATATATTGACATCGATTACAATAATCGATGTAAGTATTTTGAATATTAACATCAGTTGTTAATAAAATGATACAAATTATTTGCATCAATAATATATAAATCATTTAGTTAAGTGATATAAAATTCTTTTACATCAATTATAAATAATAAAAAAATTCAAAATAATTGATGCTAAATGATCTTTTTTTTGTAGTGAAATTTGAATCACAACATATGACAAAAAAGTCTAGATTTTTATTAACTTTAAGTATTATATGATGATTGGAAAAAAGAAAAAAAAACACAAATAAAGATGATACAATAATTATAATTTTACCTTAACATAATCTTTTAGATATCTATATTATTATTTGTGAAACATTATGTGGATATTTCTGATTTTAAAATTAATATCAAAAACCAAAAACGGAAATATTTTGTGCCTATTTGCATTAGGTATGATCATGAATATGGGATACAGATCTTTTTGACATGATCCATTTTTTTTTTTCATAATGTTAACTATATTTTTAAAGAACTTTCTAATTCCTTTAAATGGGGAAATTGGATATAAAGGATCTTTTAAAATATCTTTGTTCATCTATACTTTATCTAGATAAGTTTGGTGAAATGGATTTTTAGGAAAATTTTAAACCAACTATCCCCTTAATTATAAAATAAAAGAAAATAAAATTACGTACATAATTAAAAAAGTATGATTTTCTATTTCCAAATCCAAAAACTCTAACTAGAATAGAGGCTTTTGTCTTTTACGTTTGAAAAATATGATTGAGGTATTTGTTGCTCTGGCTCATGTTTTTGGTGCCTCATAAAGTATTCTCTATCATGATCTGTTTGCATTGTTGAATAAGAAATTACACAAAAAAAAGACCAACGTGTAAGTTTTTTTTATTTATAATTTTGAATTTAGTTTTAGTTTGGAATCAGTTAAGATTTTTTAAAAATACTTTTGAATTTGGTAGTTTATTAGGATAACCATAATGATTTGATCGATTTAGTGATTTTTGTGAGTTGTCGAATTAAATGGAGATGTGGAGATATAATTAATATGTATAAGGATATTAGTTATATATATAAAAAAACGGGTCGGGTTGTTTCACTCCTCGTCTTGTTCACCCATCCTGAGAGGATAGCTTCTTCAAGCCCCTCTTTTCCGAGCCATTTTTTATCGAACTGGAATCTTCTCCTCATTTTCTTTTTCTTTAATAAAATATTTGCCACAAGAGGACGATGATCTGATCCCCAGAGGCGTAAGTACTCAACTTTAGTGTGGAAAAAAGTGTTGTGCCAATATAGGTAAGTCTTTCCCATACAATTTCTCGGCACTTAACGACCGGATCTCCATAAACAAAAGATAAAAAGACTTTGTTACCATAAATAACAGTTTCCACATCAATAATTCGAACATTAGAAGAGAGTATAACAGTTGGATAGTCATTAGAGTAAAAGAGAGCTAAGCCTTCACTACAACCATCTGGCTCAACTGTAAAAAGATTATCATACCCTAACTCCATTTGTCTCTCTTCCAACTCAGCTCGTGCATTATTCGTTTCAGAATGAAACAAAAATCTTGGGAAGAAATTTTTACGCATTTACCTTAACTCTGAATTGCCAAGTATGTTCCAACTCCTTGACAATTCGAGGCGAGAATCTTCATATATCCTTACTGGGTGGGTTCTAGACTTAGTTTTTTTGTTTATTGCTGAAGGTAACACCCTAGAGCGGGGGAGAGTTGAAGAAGGTTCCCCATTTCGGGACCGTGCAGTCTGTCTTTTTGGTTCTGATCTTTTTTTCGTCGAATCGTTGATTAAGATGTTCCTCTTTTTTGATGCCGCCCAGGAAGCTCTAGGGAAGCTTTGGCCACTTGATTTTTGGATTCCGCTCGTCGTCTCCGGTGAGAAGCTTTTGAAGCAGAGGCCTTTGGAAATTCAATTCTGTCCTTTGATGGTCTTCTTAATGGAGAGTAGTATTTCTTACTGTTTAGAGAAGGAGATGATGTTGTAACACCCGCGTCCCGCTATCCTAAAGGGGCCGGTTAGTTTTAGGAAAAACTAGATCATGGTCGAGAAAGACTTATGAATAAGTTAACCCAATGAACGAAAGAAACGTTGAAGTCATGAAATGGTAGATGACTTAGATTGTTTCGGGATAATCTTGTGATCATGAGGAAATGATCATGGAAAGATTGGAAATGGCATAGTCTTGGCCTTAAAACAGACCGAAAGACTTAGCCGGAAAGAACGTGAAATAACGTTAGAGCTAAACCTGCTAGGTGAGCTGGACAAGCTGGATGAACTAACTAGGTTAGCTAAACCAGCTGGAAGACTAGCTAGCTCAGCTAGGTGAGCTGACGGACAGCTAAACCGAGCTCGGTGAACAGATCGAGTACTGACCCAGTTGGGTGGTCCGGTCAGCTGACACTCGAGCTGGTGGACTGTGGTACCTCGGGGACGAAGGGATATCTCGACCAAAAGGTGTTAAGGTCGAACGGTTACAAACAAACGGTTCTGTTAGCCAAAAGGTGGATAAGGCCGAGCAGTTACGATCGGAAAGATGCAACCCTTCGGAAGGGTGGAAGGAACGGATGTGATGCTTCGGAAAGGCAACCGTTCGGCCCTACATAAGGGGTGGACGTCCAACACTTCATAAACAGCATCACAATCCAAAACGAGTCTGATATGTTGTGTTTTTATCGGTTTTAAGTCTTTGTTTTCTTTCCTAGATCATATCTTTTATAGAGTCAAAGTGTGTTTTAGAGTCTTTTAGTCCTTTATCGAGTCTCTACAGGTTTTAGGAAGCTATGCTGGAGTTGGAGGCTTCTCGTATCAAAAACGGACGTTAGGAGAAGAAATGGGAATATGGTGATTCAAGAAAACTCTGCTAGAAAATGGCATCAGGCAAAATTTCATCAAGCAACTGCCTGATGCACAATTCCAATTTCTTGGCCAAATCTGCTGGAAAATGGCATCAAGCAAATTTCATCGGGCAACTGCCTGATGCCCAGTTCCGGTTTTCCTTAACCAATTTTATTTCCTATTTCTGGAATTGGGTATAAAAACCCCAAAGACCTAATTTTCTCATTCACGTTTCTTTCTGCAATTTTTCTGAGACTTCTCCTCCGAAGCAACACTTTGGGGATAGAAGATTCATACTTCTTGACAAATTGGAGAAAATTTCTAAACCCTATTTCATTTCTATTCAATTGAACTATGTTTTCCTTTACATCTATTTGTCTTGTTTCCGTTTTTATGTTTGATTAGTCCTTTAATTGGGTTTTAGGGTTCTAATTAGGAGATTCAATGGATTAATGGATTGATTGTTATTAGGAGTTCTTATTCTTTAAGTTCTTTGATTCACATGTTCTTAAACCTAGAATAGGATTGATCACCCTGTTGTAGATTCTAAGTTTTTCTATGCATCAAAAGTGTTCGATAGAATGCCTGAACCAATGTGAATTGAGCAATGTATGCTTAGCCAATGAAAGTTGACGTTAGGACGCACTGTGAACTTAATGAACTTGTTTAGTAATGCGAATTTGACTAGGAAATTACAAGCGAAAGTTTAGTAGTAGAGTAGTTAAATTTAGTGATTATTATCTTGAAAGAGAATTAATGTAAATGTGTTCATGTTCAAGAACAGTACTTAATTGTTGAATTCCTTGTCTCATGTTTCCATTGTTCATTGATCTCTGAAATACCCTATGGCCCAGTATCTTTAAATCTTGAAAGTTAAATCGCTTAATTTTTTTGCATTTTTATTTTACGACCTGAAAAGCCAAACAAAACAACTCTTCGCTTTAGCTAAGAACGAGTCTCGAAAATCCTTAGAGTATCTTTTGTCCTTATGGATCGACCTCGAATATACTACCTAACGGTTAGATATATCGGATAAGTACTCGAGTAATCAAGTTGGCGCCGTTGCCGGAGACCAATGCGTTACCTAAGGATTTAGGATTAGTTTTTAGTCTTAAGTATTTTTTATTTTTCTGTTACTGGTTTTAGTTTTCGTTTTTGGTGTTTTCAGGTGTATGACCCGCAGCCAAGGCTCATCACATCTAGCGGATTACCAAGAGGATATCAGAAAGTTTGAAAGAGCAAATAAGAAAAAGAAGAAGTTAGCTGAGCAGAGAGAAGCTGAAATGGCTGAACACAATGCTACAAGAAACCTTCTGAATGAAGATGGACTCCTACCTGCTGGAGATAATCAAGGAGTGTTTTAAGATCCCCCACCTCCTGGAAACATTAACCCTCCTACTGCGGGACGTGTGGCTGCTGCTAATGCCGCTCGTTTAGCAGCAGCGAATGCTAGGTCTGCGCCTGCTCGACAAACTCTGAGAGATCTGATGCTCCTAATGTTGTGCACTTCCGAGACAGGAACCAACAACTGCCAATCAACAGAATTGATTTTGAGATCAAGACAGGACTGTTATCTCTTGTGAAGCAGAATCAGTTCCACGGTCTCTCCTCAGAGAATCCAGTCTACCATTTGGATAACTTCGAGGCATATGCAGTACAACAAGAATGAATGGAGTACCTGATGATGTCATCAAATGCAGACTTTTCTCATTCTCTTTGGCTGACAAAGCCCATTGCTGGTTGAAGTCTCTGAACGCTGATAATTTGAGAAGCTGGGAGGATTACAAAGCTGCATTTCTGTCACAGTATTTTACTCAGTCCGCTTCCGCCCTATGCGACCAGCTGGTGCTCATCCTAGGAAAGTAGAAT